GTCACTGTTCAGTGACACTAATGCTTTGTTTCACACTGCTTCTTTTAGTGCAGGCGTGACTGGCTTTCTCTTCATGCTGCGAGCCTTGGTTTCAGCAAACTTCAACACCATCTACATTTACACTGCAGAGGTGGGTCCTGCTGAAGGTATTTGGAATCACAGCAGCATTAAGATTGGAAAAGACCTCTAAGATAACTGAAAATCCTAACACCAGCCCATCACACCATGCTCACTAACCTCAGTGCCATGTACTTGAAGTGCCACAGCACTTGAGCCTGCTCTGGGGCATGGAAGCCCATTAGCCAGGAATGCTGTTGTATGCATTGACCAGCTAAGAGTCAGCTTCCCTGAACTGAGCATCTCTGGCTTCCTGACCACTCTGTTTTCATAAGTGAGATCAGAAAACTAGCTGAAGGTGACAAGAGCAGCCAGGAAAGGAGTGCCCTGCTGGGTCACTAGTTGGTCACTACTACTAAATGTTATTTCTGAGGATGTTATACACAATCACCTTCCAAAAATCTCCGTTCTCTCTCAGTCCCGTTGAAGTTAGACAACAGACTACCACTGAAAGGAACCTTTTCCAGCACTTACGGCTGGCGATTGTAGCTAGTATAAAAGTTTTTTACATGTATATGCTCAACTAATGGAAATTATTGTGTTGTGTCTGCAAATAGTTTTAACCAATCAGAGAGCATCTCCTTCACACATCTTCAGAATGATTAGTCCTGTGGGTTACTTACACGTTGCTTTTGTATAAAAACAGAGTTGTGTGGAATTTAGTTTCTTCCTTTTAAGACTGAGTGGTAAGTGGTAAGAAGCTGATAGCAGTAGTTAGCTTGGTTGACCTGATAGTGTGCCATACTTCTTTTTATAGCACACTATTTTTAAGCATGTACCAGACTTTACTAAATACCAGCTTTTAAATAGTCCAGAATTGGATGCTGTTGATGTGAAAACTATTGCTGAAATAGCCATACTGTAAACCACAAATACACAAGATTTAATCAATGATCAAAACCAAACTCGGAAAAAACTCTTTCCAGACACATCCCAGACTTTTCTAGAACTACATCACATCCTCTTGGCCCAGCCTTTTTTAAACAAACGCTTAAATGACAACACTTGCTAAAATCTACTGACATGAATGGGACTTAAATTAAGCAAAGCATAGGGTTAGGATGTTTTCTGTCAGGATTTTCCCACAGCACTGAAACAAAGCATATACTCAAGTGTTTTACTGACATGGGTGTCAGGGAGATGTGAAAAATACACAAAGCACATTAGGACACCAAGCTGTGTGACGTGGCTGGCATGCCCGGGGGACAAGATGCCATTCAATGTGACCTCAACAGACTTGAGCAGTGGGCCCAGCTGAACCTCATGAGGTTCAACAAAGGCAAGTGCAATCAATGTCTTGCACCAGGGTCATGGAAACCCTCACTACCAGTACAAGCTGGGGGATGTAAGGATAGAGCAGAGCCCTACAACGTCTGTTGTGATAGGACAAAGGGAAATGATTTCAAACTAAAAGAGGAGAGATTTAGATTGGACATAAGGAAGTTTTTACAGTAAGTGAGACACTAGAACAGGTTGCCTGGAGAGGTGGTAGATATCCAGTCAAGGCCAGGCTGGAGGGCCTCTGAGCACCCTGATCAAGCTGTAGATTCATGGCAGGGGAGTTGGACTAGATGAACTTTAAAATTCCCTTCCAACTCAAATGAATATATAATTCTATTTCTCTAAGCCTGGATGTTTCCTATCAGGATTTCCCTTTCTTTTTCCTCCTTCTAAACAAAGGTGCCGTTGATGTAAGTAAGTAGGCTGTCTTGAAGGCTGCAGACAATCTCTTTTTCTCCTGCTTTCCAGACACATAGTCAGGCAATTTAAATTGAATTCTCTCTTTAGCACCAAGCCTATGGTCTGTGACTTTGGCCTGAGCAGCCCAGTGCAGACGAAGGAAAGGAGTCTGTGTATATGTTGCCTTCAACTTCTACTTTGGACATGAAATGGCAGAATTGCGATGGAATGAATGAGATGCAAAGGAATCTTTAAATCTTTTTGCATCTTCTCCCGCTGACTGCTTTTGATAATGCAAGGGTCTACATGAGGAAAGTAAGAAAATAAAAAAAAAGGGGGGTGGAATGAGAACACATATCACTGATGATTGTTGCATTAATCTGATTTCTTTCTAACCTGCGTCAGGTTTATCCCACCACAATGCGAGCCTTGGGGATGGGAACCAGTGGGTCACTGTGCCGTGTTGGAGCTATGGTGGCACCATTCATATCACAAGTAAGAGCACTGTTGACAATGCCGGTAAGACTTGAGTCAAACATTACCATCAAATACACAGGGATGCCCATGAAGTTAATAGAAAAGGGGGAGGCATTCAATCTCGGTGTCTGGTTTGCTTTTTCAAACTGATTTGTTCTTTATCTGATATTTATGCAGAGCACTTGGACAGTCTTTGCCAGACGTGGATCTTGCTATTATTTGCTGCTTTCTGAAAACTTATAGATTTCACGAGTGGCATTTTCTGGATGTTGCTGAGTCCCCCAGGCATTTGCAACGCATTGCCCACTCTCTAATTTCTAATTAACTGGTGGGCTCCCACAGCATTGAACAGATGTTTGAACTGTTTCTTTCTTTCATTCTTTTAATCTGCAGGTTCTTATGAGTGCATCTTTCCTTGGGGCCCTGTGTCTTTTCTCATCTGTGTGTGTTGTGTGTGCAATCTCTGCCTTCACGCTACCCATTGAGACCAAGGGCAGGGCACTGCAGGTTTGTATGGACTCTCCAGGAGCTTCTCCTTGTCTACAAGCTACCTAGAAACAGTAAATCTTGATTCAGCCAGAAAGGAAACCAAAATCTTCTCAGGGTTCATAAGCCAAAACAAGAACTGAGAGATAAACAGAGGAAGGTGCTGTCATAACAACTGAAAGCACTGTTACCCCAGTTGCCTAAATTCATTTCTCATAGAAGAACAGGAATGCCTGCCCTAGCTCTAGCTCCCTCACTACAGCATATTAGCTTAAATTAGTGCAAGCCCTTCTTTGCTATCTCTGGTCTCCATCTGAAGTTGCTGCACCTATTCTCCTCTGCTGCAGGCAGAGAAGATAACAGCTAACAATTAACACCTTAAAGTACTAAAGCCACTTTGACACCAAATTCAAGTCAAAAGCCCTTGCTCCATCAGCCCATTAACCTAAACCCTATGGCTAGTGTTTCCTGTAAGGCTCTAGAGGCAGTGAGACAAAACAAGCCCAAAGATCAAGAAGGAAAGTCAGTTATAGGCAATTTAGCTGTAAGGCCATGGGAATTTTCGTGTCATAGAGGAGGCATGTCCTCTTCCTGCATGGTCTTCTGCAGTCTCACCCATACAAGCCAGAAAATCATAGGATTGATAATCCAGACTCTGTAGCAGCCTAGGGCCAGACAGATGTTTGATTAACCTGATATCAGATTCAGGACCAGACTAAAAAAATTGTATACAAACACGTACATACACACATCATACATGTATACACACACACAAGTTCATTGGGCCGCATCTTAGGCTTCCACAAGGTGCATGGGACAGTTAGCCTTAGGGTTTTTGAGAAAGCAATTTATTAATAATGGACTGCTTCTTTTTTAAAAATAAGGACTACTGTTTATGATGTTTTAAAACATCTATATGCAAATCTGTAAAAGATTGGAAAAAATACACAAATTTAAGAAAGGAAGTGGAAAAAGCAACTTCTTCCTTCGTGCAGAACTATTTGTGTACCAGGAAAAGCTGGCATCAGATCTACTATTCAACTTGCAAATGATCCTCTAGTCTGCCTTTCAGAGATCACTGTGTGTGCAAAGCCATACAGGCATTGCTGAACGGTGGCTATTGGACATACTGTCCAAGGGTGTCACACAGCAGTCATTCAATTCATGTAATAATTTAAGTGCATAACACGGCAACATTCAGTCCTATGGCTCCAGACAATTGATGCATGTCTCAATATCAGGTTCAAACAAAACAACTGAATGAATCTTGTGGAATCTAAAATGAAATGTAAAAAGCATACAGACCCACAGTCTGGCTGGCATTGTCCTCAATGAGTGAGGAGCTGCGACCATCAGGGTTCCCTACTGGGACAGATACGATTCACTGGCGACACTGGACCAGGTGCGCTTGCAGCCCAGGAAACCAACCATATCCTGGGTTGCACCAAAAGATGAGTGGCCAGCAGGGTGAGAAAAGAAAAACAGAAGATTCAAAAGCTGTGGATGCCCCCTCTTTGAAAGCATTCAGTCAGGGTGGATGGGGCCCTGGGCAACCTGATCTAGCACAAGGCATCTCTGCCCTTGCAACCAGCTGATCTTTAAATCCCCTTCCAACCCAAACCATTCCTTGATTCTAATCTCTATCTACACCTATTTCAGTTTATTAGGACAGCATCAGTTTATTCTTAAAGTAGCTACAGGAATTGTCAATCAGAGGCAAAATATTTTGGACACATATTCAAATGGATATTATTTTCCCTCTGTATTCATTTCTGCTGTTTTTCATGTGCATTCTGTTAATTTTATGGTTTTTGTGTCGCTTTTTTTTCCCCTCTCTTAGCAAGTAAAATGAAAGCGTTTGATGTTGGATTGGGTACAAAAGAAAAAGAAACCTTTGGAATCCATCATTTCCTGTGAGCCACATTTGATGTTGATTGCTTCTCCATACCATTTCCATTATATAAAAATGGAACTGATCAGTGTAAGAGCTATGATTTGCATAGACCAAGGGTAGCTTCCTCAAGTAGATTCCCCTTCTTATGGTTCAATAAAAATGTTTTCTATCCATGTCATGAAGAAAGACTCTTTGCTAGTGCTATTTCTAATGCCACACACACACACACATACACACACACACACACACACACACACACACACACACACAAAAAAAAGGAATGAAAAACATCATCCCTAATTGATTAAATGGACAAAGAAGAAAAAAATACACAAGGACAACAGGATTTTTGCCATAGCAGCTTGGGAGGATGCAGTACTTACTTTTAAAAAACAAAAGAACCAATGTTTGAGGAATGCTATTATCTCACCTGCATCAAAAGCTAAGTTTAACATCTCAAATGTCACTGCAGTGGTAATTTCAGAAGGTCCTTAGGGTGACATTTAAAACCACAAGATGAAAGCTGAGTCAGATTTTTTCCCCACGGATTATTTAAACAGAGACAAGATCAAACAGATCACTGAAAAAGTTGTCTTGTCCTTGTGCCTGATGGTAGCATCCAAATGAGGTTCTCAGGAAGCATCTGGTAAACAGGTTAGCAAATTGAAGTTCTTTGGTGACCTGTTTTAATCCCTTTCTGTACTGAGGCATTTGTGATGCTGCAGGCTGACAGAGCTTTCCCAATCCATCTTGTTTACTCTGGCTTGCCATCTTAAAGCACACACATCACTTGCCCATTCAAATCTAACCGTTTCAACTGTCAGCTTCCATGTCTCCACAGTTGATGCAAGACTCAGCCAAGTCATTGGCTGGCCATCAGTATTACTGACTTATTGGACAAGTGGCACCTGCATTGTTTATCACAATCTCTTCCTCCAACCTAGTAAAGAACTGTGTAAAACAAGTCTATTTTTTTTTTTTTTCTTTCCCTTTTTACATTTTTCCTATGTATACACAACTGGTTCTCAATGACAACAGGAAATGGACTGATGTAAGGTAATTCCTTTTAGCTTCTGTCCCACCTCCATCACGGGAGATGTCTGTTTTGATCTATAGTGCTGCAGATTCTATGAACTGTTGCAGTACTAGAAGAAAAATGTCCGAATGAAAAACAGACTGCAGAATAGTCTTATACTCTTAACCACATTCCCCAACAAAACATACTGTGACTTGTGAGGGGGGGGTTCTTTCTGAATAAGCTATTTTCAATTTGTTCCACTGTTGCTGTACAATTATTTCAAAAAGTTTTCACTGTTACGAGGGGAGAATCAAAAGAAGAGAAAGCAGCAACTGGACTGCAAGAGTACATTAATTTTCCTCTCCAGTATCTCTCACTGAGAGAACAACTTGTAGATGAAGCTACATAGATGTCAAACTTCACCTCTAACTGCACCAAGCATTCTATGAAACTTCTGCTTGCAGCTTCAGGTCTAGAGAAACATTCATCAGCTTTCTCTGGAAGCATAGCTAACTTGACTTGTTACAGAAGTCCTAGATACCCATTAGATGCTGCAGTGACAGAGCCTCTCATTTCTTAACTCTGTGCTTCTGCAGCACAGTGTTGTGCCTGTTATGTTAAAATGGTCTCCCTCACCATCCTGTTCAGCTCCTTCACTTTCACTTCTCGTTTTTTCCTGGAACTCTGGGATGGTAGAGCTCCTGCTGCAAGCAACTCCCTTCAGGCAATTAAAAATAATAATTTTAAAAGGATAAATTAATAGTTACTCTAGGAAGCTCAATACCCAGTCAAACCATCACAGCACTTCAAAAGCTGTATTGACTGTCAAAGGCCAGCTGCAAGCACAGCTGAGTGTTCTTTTGAAATGTCCACAGCATTTAAATATGCAGGGCCACTCTAGGATAAAGGCAGGTGAACAGCTTCAGAAGGTAAAAGAAAAAGATGTGCCCTTTTGCTGAGGGTATATGTACACAGCAGGGAAGAACAAGCAGCACTTCTGTTTAGGCTTGCGAGGATCTATCTGTAGCACCCATATTAGTGCTACATAACAAGTAAAAAGCAGGTCTGTGTAAACACAGATGTCTTCATAAATCCATCTGCAAAACTCTGGTGCAAATCAGCTCAATTTATCCAAGAGATTGTCTGCTCTTCCTAAAAAAAAGACAGTTTTCACTTAAGATGACATACGTGAAGAGTATAAGCCAATAGCTGAGGCAATCATAGACAGGTACTTTCAATCTGCCATTGCTGAATGCAGAAACAGCCATCTACATTGTTATCAGCACTTCTGGAAAGCAGAAAAAAAAGTAAATCCCAACATCGTTTGTCTTTAGTTTCTGGTGATTTTAACAAGGACAGATGAAGGTTCAAGGAACTGGATCTTTTTTTTTTCCTAAAGCCCTCCCCTCTCCTTTACACTTGTTAATTTAACACTGGCTGCATTCCCACAATAATATTTAGAAATTTGGAAAAACAATAAGATCTTGTGGACAGAAAAGACACTTTTCTTTGCCCCCTAAACTTACCAAAAAGCTTGATAGTTGCAAACAAATGCTCTTTCCCTTGAGTCTTCCCCTCTAACATTGAAGTCCATTAAACAGAAGTACATCAAACTTGTGAGGCACCTTTTAAACAACATAGTGTATAGGAATAGCACTGTTTCTTGCTGACTGTGGGAAAGTGGTACACAAAACGAAGCACCACGTCCTTTCCTTTCTCTATTAAAAACTCTCAAATTCCTTTTTTTCTTTAAGTTATTTTTAATACGCTCTCCCTCACATTTTAAAATTAACCAATAACTTCTTTAGGGGCAACTACACTTTCATTGTATCAGTCAGTATTGCAGGACAACAATATTACAACATCTGTTTTCATGGCTTGTGTTAAATACAGTACAAAGAAACCAAATCATGGCCAGCCACATGCCTTTGGTAAAATTAAATGTCTGGTGAGATCACATTTTCTTCAAACTCAGAAAACCATATGTTGAACCTATGTAACATCTTAAAGTTCAGTTCTATACAAACCTCTTTTCTTCTTCAAAGTAAAGTTAAACAGCTGTCATCCCATACAAATCACAGTTTCTGCGCAGTTCCAGAAGTATGCTGCAAACTTGGAACTTCAAGGAAGCTCTCTGCAGCTCTGGATCTCCCCTGGAATTGTGTTTCAGATAAGGGGTAGAAAGGGGTAGAAAGTCAAGTAAATGTCCACAGACCTCCAGGTCAAAGCAGTCACGACTCTTCCCCTTGCAACAACTGTCAGTGATAAATACCCTTCGTTTTTAAAAAACGTTCCACATGCGACTCATTTCAGCAACTGACGGTCTTCTCCTTTGAGACGTTTTTTCCGAGGCTGTACAATGTCATCATCTGAGTCATCACTAAGTTCTGCATTATCTTTTTCACTCTGGCAGTTAGATTGTACAGGGAACTTCCTTCCAGGATAAAGGCTCTTTAGTAGTTCTTCAAAGTATGCTTCAAGCTTCATGCCGGCATCAGCCACTTCTGAATCAGGCTGTTGGGTGAATTAACAACATCAACACATCATGAAATAGCTTTATACTCGTGTTCTTCAGGTGCTCTTACAAGCTACAAAAGTCAAACAGCATTGAGAATATATATAGGTATGTCTCAAGGCTGCTAAGAGAACGGCTACACGAAATGCTGTAATTTTTCTAGGTTACAGACCTAGCTCTAATTATGGCAAAAATATTACTAGTAATGGACAATGACTGCATCTCAGAAGACCAGGCAGTCCTGAAGTCATTCATACCCACCATAGCTGACCTGTCTCCTGAAGTGGAGGTCACCATAGCAGTAAGTATACCCAGCAACTGCCCTGGATGAGAACCTAAGTGAAGACACTTAGAGAAACCTAATTTTCATTGTTAACTCTCTCTCTTTTTGTCCACTCAGTATCTGCACCCCCTTTTCAGCAAATGTTTCCTTACAAACAGTGAGGGTTTAGACAACAGTCTAAGTCATTTAGTCTCAGGGTAAATAAGGGTAAGACTTCTGAGAATGAAAATTCCAACGAATTTGAGATATAATGCAAGGAGGATTAAACCAAGTTTCCAGTCAAATGCCCACCACTAATATCCGTGATGAACAATCATTTTCTCCTTACCTGCTTTCCTGCCATTTCAGTTAGCATGTTTGTTACAGCTCTCCTCCCTTCAACAGAAGGATCCCATTTGCATACTCATCTAACATCAATGTAGTCTTAAACGTGATCTACATTTTCTCTGGGCTCTTATCATCAATGTAAGTTTAATTAAATAAGTAAATTCTAACCCCACTGTAGTTTTCCTGAAAGTAAATAAGCCTACAAAAATAGATAAAGTGTCTACTTCTCTAACCTCATTAAATTCAGCACAGTTTTGGAAAATCAGTCTGAAGTCGGCCACAAATTCTTCTGGCTTTGTGTAGAACGAATCGTTCACTTGAAGTCTATTCTTGATGGTTGACAAGTCCATAGGCTTTTTGATTATTTTGTAGTAATCAGGAACCTAAACAAAGATGAAAAGTTTTACCATATGCAGTCACGTTCGTTGCATGTTGTTTTTACAGACCTTTACATCTGAGGGAGAGGGGAAAACGTAGCCTCATCTTTTGAAATATGATTCTAACATACAAAAACGGTACCTTTTACAAATACAGTTACTGGAGTAGCAGTGACACATGCTAGTTTTACTGGCTAAAATACATACACCTCTCCCAACATCTCTTTTAAAAGAAAAGCAAAATAAGTAATAAAACCAACTGCATTTACTACATAGAATAAAGCAAGTGATGTTGACATTATATGTCAGGTGAACCATCCATTAAATCTCACTCTCAAGACTGTCATATAACAAATGTGGCAACCCATTCAGAGGCAGTAAACGTATTGCTTAAAGAGCCATTCAGTGATGAAATATATCCTTAGAAATGGTGGTAAACTACAGAGAATTATTTTGGCATTTCAGATGTACTTTCTTACTCAAATGGAATAAGAAGGATGCATTGGTGCATTATTACTTATTGATGAAATCTTTTTCCATTGACATGTCTTGAGGAGCATAAAAGAGGCACGTTCATTGGACCACACTAGTAGCATTTCTGTGCATCCTTGAACTAGTTTGCTTTTTTATTCCACTGTCTGATGAACTCAAGTTGTTTTTAGCATTTTAAATTCATAAACTTACAGCTAATAATAAGGAATTCTGTTTCTAAGCAAGACTGCAATCTTCAAAATCAGATACTTTTTTAAGAAATAAATATGTCTCCCAATTCATTTTTTAATGATAACACTCAGCATTGTGAAAACAGCTGACAGTGTTAAATATATTTCTTGTGTCTATTTTTGAAGTACTTCTCAAAGTAAGACAAAACAGTTATTGGGAAATTTTGCTATTAACTTCCTTCCAATCCAGTGCTTCATCTTTCCTAGAATCTTAGAATGGCTCGGGCTGAAAGGGAACTCTAACATCATCCAACCCCGCTGCAACAGACAGAGTTACCAAACCTCTACATCAGGCACCAGCTCAGGCTGCCCAGGGCCCCAACAAACCTGGCCCTGAACACCTCCAGGGATGGGACATCCACAGCTTCTCCGTGCAGACTGTGCCAGAGCTGTCCAACTGCCCTTCAGACAGTTTTAATAAAATACATTCAATACACTTAATGTCCACAAAACTTGACTTCTGATCATGAGCATAACAATGCCATTAGGACCGTGCCAATTATGCAACTGATTAATAGAAAATGCAAAGGAGTAGAGTACATACTGTAGGAGGAACTGGATCCTGAAAAGCAAGACTCATTTCATGACAGTAGAGGTATAGCAGCAGTCTTTCACACTTCTGTGTCAAGAAAAACAGATACACAAATAAAAAGCTATAAAATCTATTCTAAAATAATGACTATATAAAACACCGAACAGATGCTCAGTACTCCTCCAGTCTTCTAAGCAGAAAAAGTGAGCACAGAAACTGTATTTGGAAACAAGCCTGTCATAACTAACGGTCTACAGCATTCATTCTCTGCAATAGATACTCCGTATTTTTATTAACACTCAAATACGTTACAAACTTCATACAGTTACTAATAGTATTATTTAGCATTTGCCAAGTGCAACAAACATTCAATGGGGTAGAAATAGCATATGTAGCTGTTAGTTTATTATAAACATTCAGAGAAATTAGTAATATTTTTCCTGATTGGTGCATAGTTACTCTGTGCAAAGCCCACTGTGCTTTTTGTTAGCAGTGGGGAGAAATCAGTTGTGTGTGTACCTGAGCATACTGAATGGAATTTTGAACCTTGAAAGAGATTCAGAAAATAGTTTTTCTGATTTTATGCTTGATGATCCTCCACCGGGATATTTATGGGAATTATAATTTGCATTTAAAGCAAATAAAATACTAACCCAGTAAGTTATTCCCTTTTAGAGTGTATCAAATACAAATAACGGCTCTATATGTAGACTATGCCCCCAAATACAGTCAGAGCCAATCTATACTAAATCTGGAAAGCAGAAAGAAAGAAAAAAAATTTCTCAAGGCAAGGTCACTGTGTATGAGGTCAATGTTGGAAACAGTGCTTGGTAATTCCTAGAACACATTCCCAGTCCACCACATGGGACAACCACTTCTCAGTCTTTCAGAATGTGGTGCTCAGCATTTCTATATGAAAGCTGCTAACATCTCAGAGTCTACTGAGAAAGTTACTTCTCCATTTTTACCATCTTTTTTTTTTTTTTTTTTTTTTTTTTTTTTAAGTGCATACATTTCTCAGTAAAAGAAACAACAGGACTCATCCTTACCCTACGGTCTATTGGTGCCAAGCCCACAGTGTCTTCCAGTTTTCTTTTTTCAGGGTTGTGAGTTGGTTTATCACAATCATATTCAACTTCTGGCTTAGACAAATCCCGACAGAACGTACAAATCCACTCTCCACTAAACAAGACAGACAGATATATTAACCTCAGTGAAGAAGCACGTTCTTGACAGAAAACTTTCCACAGACTTCTGGAGAAGTTCTTCATGTATGGGTTGGTATTTTTGCTGTGCCATGCCTTGTTTTGTTGCTTTTGTTTATTTGCTATTTTTGTTTGCCTGTTAAAACTACAAAAAGCAGAGACAGACACTGCTGGCAAAAATGTTTCCTTAGAACTTTCTTTCCTTTTAATGGCCTTGGTATTATTAGTGGTGTTACAGTAGGAAAACGGCTTGTCATAGCAGACCAACAGTGACTACTTTGGTTAGTGTTAAAACTTCTCTCTTGACCTCATAGAATTCAACTGAAGCATTAAGAGCTCTGCTTCCTAGCTACAGAGAGAATGAAGGATTCATTTGCAGACATTGGTCCAAGAGAAGGAAAAGTGTTAGAGTTACATAGCAGAAACGGTATTTTTTCTTTACATGCTTGACTGCAAGATATTTCTGCTCTATACAGATAACTCTGGACAAGATTTTTTTTGAGCTGTTCCATATTTTATCTAGGAAAACCCTGTAGATTTAATTGACAAAGGAAGAAGCAGAAGACCAAGCAAGTTCTGGAAGCTGACTACATTTATTGACTTTCATTCAATTCGTGAGCTTCTGTAGGTTTTAGAAAAGCTATGAATAGTAAAGACTTCTGGGGAACTTGCACCCCTGCAGATAACCACAAGAGGGCTGAGTTGTACTTCAAATAGCAGACACAATTCAGCAATAGCTGTTTATGGGAAGCCAACTGCATGCATTTACTCCAAAATCTTATAATAAAATCTTCACAAATGAAAATCAGTTTCCGCAGCAGCTTTCACTGCATTTTGATAGTAAAGCAGAGACTTTCAAAGTTAATAAAACAAGCCTGTCTTACTGGTTCTCAGAGTAATTCAAAGATTTCCATCCTCTGCTAGTTTTAACATATGGTAATGAATAATGAGTGTTTCCTTTCAAAGAGACTTAACTTTCAAACAGTTCAGCTTAACAAGCTATTTACACAATACTGACATTTCTGTGCATGGACCAGCATCAAAGGTGTTATGTGACACAGACAAAAATAGATAAAAGTCATGACCTGAAGATCTCACAATATAGGAAAGGCAGAAGATGGAGGAAAGGCACATTCAAATATACGAGAGTAAGGGAAAGTACGACGGGCTACAGCGAAGGAAAGAAAAGATGCAGTGACCTTGTGAATCTACAGGGGAAAGTGTTCTGTCTACCCGAAGCAAGAACAGAAAGCAATCATGAAAGAAGTTGTTGAGACCACTGAAGTAATAATTAAGGATTTTTTTGTGTGTGCTTTTGAAGAATGGTTAGAGACCAACGTTTGTCAACTAGTCCATTGCTGCAGGAAAAAAAAAAAAAAAAAACAACACACAAACCAAAACCAAACCAAAATAAACAAACAAAACACCATGAAGATGAGAACAAAAACGTGATACATTCTGAAGCCAGGAGGAAATTTAAGCTAACTATGGTTCTGAAGTCCAGGAACATAGTGCACTTGCATTAATATGCACCTTTACAAAACTGAACACTTCTCAGAAAAGCTGCTTCTGGCTCTGTTGTGCCCTAGACATTCCCATTTTCCATTGAACAATCCAGTGAAAATGAGAACTTAAAGATCTATTTTTGAAGCTTTTATTTTAATAGATGCAAAGTCTTGTGAATAAGTAGTAATCTGCCTACCTACATCCTCACAGATTTTTTTTCTTGCTTCCAGAGAGGCACAAATGTTTATTAGCTTAAGTGCATACTGTAACTTTGCCGAGTTTTGCTTACGGCACAAAGCTGCAATATAACATCATTTTATTTAAAGAAAAAGCCCTATAATTTGAAGTTTCACAAGGTAAGAGAAACATTTTTATGTGCCAATTTTAGAGACACTTAGAAGACATGCTTGTAGAAATATGCACATAAGCAGAGATGAGCAGCATACAAACCGAACTTGTTATCCAAATGTTTTATCCCAGCAAACTGTGCTGGTATTTAAGAAGAAAACCCAATATTTACATAAAAGCATTAAACAGTGAGCATGTTATGACAGATGTCCTGTCCTTTAATAAACTTATTGCACGGCATTTCCAAGCTGCAACATTGCAAAATGCTATTTATCCTATCAAAGACACAAACTCAAGAAGCAAATGTCAGTAATGTTTATAATGATATCTTATGTAAGACCGAATTTTGAAACTCAAGGAGCCAAGAGTTGTTTCCTATCGTCCACTCAAGAAACCCTACTGCTTATTTCAACACAGAGTGCAATGTTACTAGAAGATGTCAGGCACTACATCCCATGCTTGGATCGTAGCCATATTTAGCATTATAGTAAATGATATATTTAACACAATTTTTCCTGTTGCCCTTAAAAGATTCTATGATAGACCAGTAATTTCAAGGCCCACTTATAAGACCACAGCTAATAATAATGGGTGCCCTAGATGTAAGTGATTGCGAAACAACTGAAAAGTTTTATTACAGATTTCGTGGTTGCAATTAAGTTAAATTGAAGTTTCAATGCAAATTCCAGTTTTCACCAATTAATAAAGCTGCAGACTTCAAGACTTCAAAGATGACAGAGATTCCTTTGAGGCTCAAACTTCTACGGAGTTTCACAATGCAGAACTCACATCTCTTAATGCAAGTTTAGTTGAAATTAAAGGGATCTTAATTACCTTGGAAAGTTCATCAATGAAGGGACATGACAGGAAAGATGGAATACTTTGGGACATTTCTCACAGCAAAGGAGCTCCCCACCATTTTGACATACTGCACACCAGTCTTCATTGGGATCGTCCTCTTTTCTGCCCTCTCCAGTGTGTGAGGGGCCTATCCATCCTATCTTGGCACTGGTTGTATTCTCCTGCAGTATCCTTGGCCGATCATCTGTGCTGTCTGGGGCATCTGTTCTTAAAACAGCTTCATCAGAAGTTGAGTTATGATTACCATCTAACAGCAATGAAGTCAGTATGCTTCTTGAAAAGCTGGTCTGTAAGAAGAAACAAGGGAAATTTGATTACACTGCTTATTTGAATTTAGGTGTCCCCAGCAATGACTAAACTGACCAGAATAGCACACTCATATGCAGGCAGCCATACAACACATAACACGTATGCAAAAATTACAACTGTTCGATAACATCAAGTACATAACCACAAGAAATTAGCTATGAGAGGCATTTCTGGCATTTTAAATACCACTCCACTAATAAAACAAATTTTTGACACCCCAAAGTCTAGCAACCTTATTACTACACTACGATTAGAAGAACTTCTTAGCACCACATGAAAATTCGATGTTTGTATTATCACAGAAAGGCCAGGGTTGGAAAGGACCTCAAGGATCATGAATCTCCAACCTCCCTGCCACACACAGGGCCACCAACCTTCCCATTTAATACCAGACCAGGCTGCCCAGGGCCTCATTCAACTTGGCCTCGAACACTCCAGGGACGGGGTATCCACAGCCTCTCTGGGCAGCCTGTTCCAGCACCTCACCACTTTCCTAGTAAAGAAATTTGCATTTGTAAGCTATTTCCTGCTTTCCCAGGTTTTCAACAGATACCAGTTTGAGTGCACCAGCTAACTACACTAGTGAAAGAAATAGTTTGATGCCGACTTTTACTTCTTCATTTTAAATCACTACCTTCAGCTTTTCAGTTCTTTTCTGAAAAAAGTCCCCAACAAAACATATGTAAATTATTTTATTCCCCGTAACACAAAACACCCTCCAAAGGCAAAGGTGACTTTTATTACATTCCGAGGCCGGGATTCCTCCTCTGCTTCTTGCTTCACAATAACAATTGGGAAATCAAAGTTCTCATTTGGTGTACTTGACTCCTGCTTAATTCTGATAGGCTCCAACATAACAACTGGGACTTTGTGTGTAGAATCAGCTCCCGGTGGCCGGCTGGAAGAGCTAGAACTGTAAATGACAGAAAAAGGAAAAAAAAAAAAAAAAAAGAAAAAAAAAAAAAACCACAGGAAATACAAAGTGAAAACTGAAAACTTACTGTATGTTGATGCCTTCTGAGACTTCTGAATGCTAATCCATTTTGCTTCTTTGAGCTATGAGCAGTGCAGTACTAATTTTATAGAATACAACATCCAAGTTCATTTTTTTGTGTGTTTTGAAGTGACATTACAAAAACGGAAAACTTGTAATAGCTTGGTTTCAGAACTACAGAATTACTTCCAACTTTACTTCCTGTTAGTAAAAGGCTCGCAAATGATCTCTGTCTCTTTTAGGTCAGTCACAAAAGCACTTTTCACTGAGCATCATCCCACCTTGGAGGAGATGCAGGTATGTCTTGGGGAAGGGAAGTGTGTCTCCGGAGCTGAACTCATCATTGTAAAGCACAGCAGCAGATAAGCGAGACAAAGCACACACTGGACTCTGTTTTTATTCACACGGTTAGTCATAGTAGAAAGAGAGTGGATAATCAAATTAAAAAATACCAGCCTGCTGTTTTTTTTATTGTATAATAATTTGATATCTAACAAATGAATTCAAATAACAGCAGATAGAAACATTTTAAAGTAATAGACTTTTCTGAAAAGCATTTAAATAGCTCTCATATTTGTACATTTTGAGTCCTTCAAAATATTTGCTATGTAAAAGGATAGAGCAAAATATATTGTATATTTTAAAAAAGCAATTTCATTTTCAGTTCAAGTAGGATCAATGTCATCTGATTCCTCTCTGCATGAAAAATTAATCTCATGTCGGATGTGTTCTCTAATTTATTGGAACATGCTAATGGAGCTGCTGTCTTCAAACAACATTGTCTCAAGCCTATTTGTTCACTTATATTCCATCACTAAGGAATAGAAACATTTTTTTCTAGACTCTCAGTAGACATCTAGTGCTCATTTAACTAACTCTTCAGTACCAGAAAATTCTTAGTAATTACTTTGTAACATCAGTTCCTTAAATCTGAACTCATTTATAGTTCTACAAGGAACTTCTAGCACACAATCAGTTCCTTTAGCTGATTTTTTGAATTTAAAACACCATTCTTTTAATAATATCAATCTATATATCATTCAAAGGGCAGATACATTATTAGATGTGCTATCAAAACATTACAAATGAAATTCAGTAGATTGCTCTGAACGTGATGCCTCCTATTTATTTCCATGAAAACGACAACAGATACAAAGAGCAAAATAACACTTTGTGATAGAGCAAATTCTCAGCTACGAACTGTAGAACACACCACCCACCACCTCACTGTACTCACATCCACTGTTTGGTCTTTGTAAACGTTCATCACTGAATGTCATTAGGTGCCATTTTTTTCAACATGGAGGAATTCAGTGCCACACCTTTGCTTTATATGCACTTGCATGTCAGACCATTGTGTCAGAGTGCCCCTCTGCTGCCGTCTCTCGCATGGCAACAAAACGCAATGGAATATTGGTGGGAAGGTTCAACCACTATTGCCATACCACCATGCCTCTGACATATTGGGCCAACAGAATAACACAGGAGATCTTACTTTCAGAGCAGCCCTCATACTTTCAGACTGCACTAAGTACTATAATAGCTGCCATACCTGTTAAGAGAGAAGCTTAAGTACATTAACATCTCTCTGCACTAACGATGGAAGAGTCTGAGGCATGTTCTATGGATGTGGAAGTCATACATTCTTTCTCTCCCACACCTTCCTTACCTCTCTCTGCTCCCAACACTGGAGGCACTGGGTGAACGTATTGGAGGATGTATGTTTGTTACACTGACACCTCCTAGGACAGAAGAATCAGATTAGAATGTAATGTATATCTATGACAAGTCTGATCCATTACTTGGAGAAGTATGTAGGCCTTTGTTCAAATTCCTCTTGCCTTGTTGTTTACTTAATTGATATCTCATTTAGTACAAAATCATGAGAGAACAAGAAAAGAATAACAGAGTAAAGGAAAGAACTATTTGTAGAACCCCACTGCTTGTATGCAGGCTGATGATTTGGTACCTTTGCCTGGTTGATGCCTGCACCTGATCACTGCAATTTGTTTTGTCTTACCTTGTTAAAGTCTATTTCTAGCTTCTATTTCTGTGATTTACTATAAAACTTCAAGCCATATTAGCTGGTCAGTAATATGAGGACTCAGGACAGGGTGCAGATATGAGAGAGATCCCTGCAAAGCTTCTGGGGGTCAGACAGGAAAAGACTTGAGAAGGGTAATTTTCCTGAGCAAAAGTATCAGGCTGTTTGCACTGTCTCTGTTTATGAGAGCATCTGTACTCAATGTCCTCCTTTCTGAGCTAGTCTGTCCAAGTGTATGAACATCAAGTAAGAACATACTGGGAATTCATGCTCACAGAGCCTCATAACAGGCCAAATCAGGAAATGGCCCATAAGGTAAGAGTAAGGAGCAGCCACTGATTCTACCAGGCATGGTGTCAGGAATTCCCTGGGTCTTCCAATTCTACCAGATTTAGCTACCTATACCAATAACCTTTCTGGTCAATTTCTGTCAGTACTACATTACTCTGCTGGTAAAAAAGATTTTGTAATGTTCAAATTGAGCTTCATGAGTGACCACTTGCAGCCACTGTCTCCTGTTACATACTATCTTGCTTTATCAAATACTTGTCTCTTACTAAAGCTTCTAGGATGTTATCTGGTATACCTGGAGTTTTCCACGGATACACTTGCATTTGCAGTTTTCTTGTGTCTACTATGTATTTACATTTACTTATGTTTTAAAAGTCTGCCAACTTTGTTCACAATGTTAAAACAGTCTCAACTTTACCTCTTACTAGGCTTTCTACCTCTTTGCCTTTAATATTTCTTACTGTCGATATAAAATAGAAGCAACTCATTCTGATATCCATGTTAACGTTGCCATGTTACATTCTACCACTACGCTACTTAAATAGAAAATCATATCACAGTCCAATTACCTGAAATGCCTGGTGATGGTACCGATGAATTTGGTGACTGCACAGTTCTGTTTGAAGGGGGCTTTGGGTGGTTCTGCTCTGCAGTGACATCATCCTTCCTCGCAACAGTATCCAGTGTGATGTTTCCTGAACAATCAATCTACAAGATGGTTAACAGAGGAAAAGCAGTTAAAAGTTAAAATACAATGCCTCTGCCATACTTTCTGTTTTGGAGATGAAGACTGAGATGAAGACCATCTAACTTTAGCCAACCAAAAAGTACAAGTAAAGTGGTCACTTTAAAACAGGTCATTTCATTTTCTCTAAAGAGAGAAATGGCCAAACCCAGTGTTCCACATCATTAGTTTATGCTGAAGTGATTATAGAAGTGCCTTTTTTTCCCCATCATCTATTGAGATGAGCTTACATCAGACACATAGCTTTCATACACTGAAGAGGATATGAAATTTTTTCTCTTCCCCCTCTTTCAACACGTTTACATTATGTAATCTAAAACCAATAAGCAATAGACAAACTCTCCCCTAAACCATTAATTTTGAATGGAACTGGAAGAACCCCCAAAGACTCTTAATTCCATCTGCCTCACACATCTTCCGGGTAGGAGGCACACATATTCACTCAAAACACAGACAACAAGACATTTGTTCTTTTTATTCATGGTCCAGGCCAGACAGCAAAACTTTCTTTTAGGAACTGCAAATTTATCAGTCTAGCTTTCTGTATGAACTATATATCCTGATTTGGTAAAGAGAGATAACATTTTGAGATGTTAGTTAGATGATGGATTTGTTTTGTTTGTTTAATAATACGTGAGATCATGTTTGATCAGAAAACAGGTCACTTTGGTATCAGTTTTCTCAACTATCCAGCCAAGTAACAAATCTACAGGTAGCAACTCCATTGGCCACTGAAATTTCTCTTTACATGCTACACTTCTCAGCATCGGATGCAGAAGTCTCTGCTAGGTCAGCATACAGGCAGTGATTTCAGCAACACATCTTCATAATACAAACTTAACCACGTGCAAGTAGAAGAGTTTCTAACAGTGGCGTGCACAAAAATCAGTGTGCTGAAATGTCTCAGATTCTGTAGTTTTATGACTGTGTTGTGCACTCTACCTTTTTACTCACAGACACTGTAATATCAGTGTATTCTTATTTTTTAAAAAACCAACATTTTTATTTAAGAGTTTTTTGGGGAGATCAAAAGACAGGAGAGAAACAGTAAGTTATGATTTGAAAACTGTGACGTTTCAGGTCTCTATAAACATATATAGGCTCAGCAGTTATTTGAAAGAAGAAAATCAACCAAATAAAGCTCAACATCTCTAATATAGACTTCTAACAAATAAAGACCAATCAGAAGAAAAATGAAGAACTTATGATACTCCTCCAACACCTGCTCACATGCATGTTAGAGGTAGTATGAAGGAAAGAAGTACCAAAAGGAAGTACTATAAGAAAAATTTGACTCCACTACATCAACAATAACCACCCACAATAGCACTTTCAACGAGTTATAATGAATTCATTGAGCAGTGGATGGTGGTAAAGACTGCAATATGAAGCAAGCACATAAACAAGCCCAATTACTGTTACAACATGAAATTTTATTTTTCTTAGCATTCTTAATGGCTGTTTCCCAAAAACAGTTCTGAATACTGCCAAAAATATGTAGGCAATCCTGCATCGCTTTCTGGAATTATCTCATTGTGATAACCAGCAGAAGAATTTCAAAACAAAAAGAATTTCTACTTTTCAAAACCATTAAAGCATGCTTCAAAATAGAATCTGTAAAAGATTGGTATGGATGGTACACTTACATCAGGAAGAGATGGCAGATTGTAGGAACTACCCACTGGAGAACTCAAATCTATCACCGGAGGACCATATGTCTTCCCATCACATCCTGCAGCACTAGTGACTGTGGGGCTGGATGGAGTAGAAGTTATGCTGCTTGCTGTTGAAATGGCAGTTGAACTTTGTCCATTACCGACCTGCCACTAAAAAGATAAGATGATAATCCACAAGTCAGTATTTTTCCCTCTACAGAATACATACACTACATGTCCTTGCTCTAACTCATCAGCTAAACAAGCAATCTAGTACAGTAAGTTGAATTCAAATTTAAAATCCCAATTTACTCTGAAGTTATCTAATTTCAACAACCAGTATTACAAGATGAGGAAAGATGACAAGTGTTTAAAAACCATGAAAAGAAGAAATGAATGTGAATTCCTAAATTCAAAGATGTTGAGTATCTATTAATATTTCATGCTGCACTGACAGCGTTGTAGGAGGAATGTAATGATTTTAGTGAAATTAAAGCATTATAATATGATGAATATACAGCTATCCAGTACTTCTATTAAATATCTACATTGTACTTGGATGCAATCAATAATTTAATGCTTTCTTTAACAACTTAAGGTGATTAAGAATTTGAAATGCTGAATAGATTTCCACCTACCTATACATTTAACACCATGATATAAAGTGTACAGTCAAGTCAAATTAAATTTAACTCTCATTTAGACATATGCAGTTTTCAAGAAGTGAAATGGAATTTCATGGCAACTCTAGGCAAAATTTAATTCTGCTCAATTCCTTTGGTCTGTCACTCTATTCCCTGGTTTCTGCTTTGAGAAAGATGCTAGTAGATAATAAAAATAGTTGAAAGAAAGGCCTGCAGACAGGTCAATCTTCTTTTGAAATGCTCAAATGGAACTGATATAGTTCTTGTTACAGATTCTCTGCGATATCATGCAGCCTTCTTCAATTCAGTTAAAATTAGTTCTCTGACTTCATAAGCATTGCAGACATTAATGGTACTACTCCACTTTTCAGGTGGTAGAACAGATTCATTTGATTCTACCCTGCTTGTCTCTGGAAATACGATGCCCTCTTTCCTTTAAAATACCAAAGAACACGTTAATGTACTTTTTAATAAGGACTTGGCTTCCCAAATAGACAGAAAGCTTCTGAAGTATTCGTTCCTGCCCTAGTTCAACTGTTGATCAGGTGGGCATCAACCATTTTTACTCAGCAAAGGTCACCTGACTGTGGGGCTTTTTTTTTTTTTTTTTTTTTTTTTTTTTTTTTTTAAATCAGTAAGGTTTGGCATACTCCAGAGATGCTGGCAGCTACAACTTTTCAGTCAAGCTTTTACCTGGTAGTAAAGTCACTAACATTAAGATGAACAGGAGGATTTGCCAATCTGTTTATTCACTGTGGTGTGTAGACTACATTCTCACGTACGTAAGTGGCCAGAAAGCACAGTAATAGCAAATAACTTAATGAAACATCTACGTATTACACACAGTGGCTCACTTCTGTAACAGTTCAGCTGCTTAGAACCGTCAGAATGAAAGAAACTTGACAGTTCTCATTAAGAAAACTGTGGATATCTTGTCACAGAGAAGAAAGCGTTCTCTGTTCCAATTGAAAATCACTCTTGAAACATAACATAAATGAAGATATAAAGCACATTTGATGCTTTATTTTTACACAGTAAGTGAAATGGGAAAGAAACTCTACCTGCTTCATAGCTTGCTGTGCCAAGAATGCCATCTGCAATGGGTTGAGCTTTATTGCTTGCCTTGGTAGGCTCTGATTTTGGGGAAATCTCATCTGTTGTGCAGGAGGAGCTGCACCATTGGACTTGGAGCTATGATTCTGAAAATGAATCAAACGTGGAGGTGCCTGCATGAAGAAAAAACAGTTCTGTAAGTTAGATGATACTGATTCAATGTTCCAGATTTTTTTTTTTACTGCACTTAACTCTTATATTTAATGCAAACAAAGAGTATCACCTAATTTACCCGAAAATTAATGCTAAAAACAAAACCTAGCATGTGGTTTTGAATTACTCTGATATAACAAGTGCAGATGCACTGAAACAGCTAGTGAGAGTATTTCAACTTTGGAAGTTATATAGGACAATCACAGTATCATGCAAAATAAATAAATAAATAAATAAAAAATGACAGATTCATTTTATAAGCATTTGAAAGAAATTCAATATATATAGCTCAGTACTGTATATCATCACATACCACGTCATATATTTTTCTCAACAATAACAGGCTGAGTATTACCATACATTCTGCCAGTCAAGTATAGAATGTCCATTCAATTCTCAGTAAAGAAAACATTCTCTAACCCTTCAATATAACCACCAGCTAAAGATGAAAATCTGAAATTCTATATTTAAACATCACTGTTTTTAATTTTTTCTTCTCTTTCTTCACTTTCTCCCTCATCAGTGAAAGGCTGCTTAAGGCTTCAACTCTAATTAAGCTTTGGCCACACAGATTTTTCTCCCTACAAAGGTGAACAGCATCTCCATAGTCGTTCCATGTCATCCAACCTCACGTCCAGTGACCATACACCTTCTTTTTCCTCCTAAGCTCTAGAAGAAGATCCCTGCACAGCCCAGCCAATCTTCTGCCCCATAAACACAACTTCCAGCATTTTGGGATTGACTGTTCCTGTGATCTTTAGAGGAGGTGGTACTTGAAAGTGACCAGCACTGACAGACCCCAATACCTTCAAAAGCATTTTCATGCAGTTTCCCTTCTTCCTTTGAGTAGAGAGAGTGGTTGTGGTGGAGTTCAGCTGCCCACCAGGGCGAAACCACCATATATGGGAAAGAAAAATCTTCTCTGGAAATTGTCATAGCTTACCTGATGAGAAGCAGGAGGCTGCTGCACACTTCCTGGCATTCTTGGATTTGGTAGACCTACTGGACCTGCTCTACGCTGAGCTTGCTGTCTCTGAGCCATGACTTGTTGCTGCATGTGCTGGAGACGGAGCTGAGCCAAGTTTATTTGCATTGGGAACTTAGATAGCTGATTTGAAGGTAAGCTGCTTGGTGGCTGCAAACTTGTTTCTGTCCCAGGGTTCTTGGGCATGTGTGGTGGGGTTTCTTTATCTTCAATTACCAGAGAACCTGGTTTAAAAAACATAAATTAAATGAATACTAAAATACTGCAGTTAGCAGAAATGCTATTTTTACAGTTTTAGATTTTTTGATACCATGAGGCTATAATTAATTATTATAATGCAAAGGATGGGTAAACATGAGACAAAGTACTCACTTCATATTGTTTCCCTGCAAAAACATGGCTGTATTTTATAATAAAAGAGAAGGAGATATTAGCAAACTGTCTTATGCTACAGCATGCTCTAAGAGGTGAATTCCAGACAGCTGCCCTGGCCCCTCCAGAAGAGCAAGGAAACAAAATTTCATTCATAGAGATGAGAGCGTTGTGATCCAATCGTTGGATTAAAAAAAAAAAAAAAAAAAACATAAGTATTTTTGTATTTTTATTTTTAAGTATTATAATACTTAAAAATTTTGTGGGTTTTTTTTTTTTTTTTTTGCCTCTGAATCACCACAATGAAATATGCAAATGATACACAAACCACCAATTTTAGGATGTAATGGCACCTCCAGGATATGTTTCCTCTCTGTTGATTTAGAAGGAAATATAACTAGAGAGGAAACTTCCAGACACTAATGCTGGTTGAAAGGCTTTACCCAAAGAGACCAACAGGGCAATTCTAAAAAGCTCTTGGGTCAAAAGCTGGCTACCACAACCACAACAGATGAATTTCAACAAAAATTGAGTTTGCTTTACAGTCAAGGGAAGAGTATGCTGACTATACGGGGGGGTGGGGAAAAAAAGAGTTACTTAGTTTAAAAAAGTGATATTGTTGAGCTTGCTAAGTCCTGTTAGTGGATAGTCCTGTAGTTTGTTCAGAAAACAGGAAGAATCTATGTCCTTGTACAGAGCAGATAAAGGAAGTTTTGTAAAGTCCTTGCATCAAGTAGATTAGGGAAATTCTGCTTTGAATCAGCTACTTTTCTAAAAGCAAGTATTGTGCAATCAAGGTAAGAAGCTAACTGAGCATGTGTGAAGATTGGGCTCAGCCAGTGAACACAGTAAGGAAGGGTCCTGGGACCACCATCACAAAAAAGACACAGCAAGCGCAGGGAGGCTGAACCTAAAATTAATGATTTTGGGGGAAGTACTGGATACACGTGTACTGCCAGGGAAAACCTTTGCACACGTAACACAAGTAATGTATATTAGCTGAAGATCTTTTGTTCAAGGCAAGCACAATTAAGTGGAAGGGACCCCTTCTGCATCCGGTGCTGAGAATAAAGAATGGCTGCCTTCTAACATTTCAACTTGAGAGTTTCATGAGGGACTGATTCATGGTAGCAGTCTGATAATCCCCATCATGGTAGCATTTGACATCACCCTCTGCCACTTCTCTCCCCATATCTGCACATCTCTACAGATCCTGTGCGGTCTAGTCTGGCTCATTTTTGAAATGGTTATCCAAACGAGGAAGAAATGCATTGTGTATTACATATTCCATTTTTCACCCCAAGGACCAGCAACTATGAAAAAAGCATCATTCTGATTCCCCTAGCCAGGCACGTAAAGGAAAAAAGATGTGCATACACACAGAGTCAGTCTAGGCTAGCCAAAACACTGTAGTGGAGAACAGGACAGAAAATTAAGATCAGTCATACTGTTTTTGTATTAACACTTAGTAAATTTAGTGTTGCATACACTTTAATTATGCTTCGACCACATCAGAAACATTAACAAAAATATTAACGAAAATGAAAACCCTTACCAACCTATTGAGTAATACCCCTTATTAAGCCTATAACAGCTTTAGGCAATTAATTTCCCATAAAGCATGCAACTTGTGGAATTAAAAAATATTTCATTTTCTAATTACCCTCCAAAATACTTAGTGCACAGATGCCATCATACTGTCAGTAGCATGCAGCCTGACTAGAATTCAAGCCATTCCTGGAGTAATTTATTTACTGCCCTTGTTTCAGCTGAGATAATCTTTTTCATAAAGGCTTGTTTGGTGCTGTGTTTTGGATTTTTGATGAAAATAACTTAATAATACAAGGATTATATACTTGTTACTGAACAGTGCTTACACAGTTAAGAATTATTCTGCTTCTCATGCTGCCCTGCCAGTGAGGAGCTCGGAGCGTACAAGGAGCTGGGAGGGGACCCAGCCAGGACAGCTGACCCAAACTGGCCAAAGGGATACTCCATATCATATGCTGCTGTATGAGACTGAAAAAGTGTTTGATGGCTCTAACAAACAAAAAGGCGCCTTACAAAATGGAGCCTTCATGACTGTACAAAGAAGTTGCTGACTCAATTAGTCTCAAGGGCTGTCTGAGATCGAAAGAGCAGACCTCTTCATGACTCAAATTGGAAGCTGTAATATCTATAGACACTCACTTTATGGAGGCAGATTGATGGGATGCTTATCTTCACTTCCTCTCATGGTTCCTCATCTCTGATAAACATCAGAAAAGGAAAGTGGGGATGCATAACCACCAGAGATCCTCTTGGAAAACTCCTGAAGCTTCTAGACACAAAGGGGCTGCCACCCCAAGGGTAGTCTCAGATGGACCGGCTACATCACCATGAACATGTGCATTCATCTCTGTCAACTCACCACCCATGGAACAAGACACTAGTCTTAAGACAATGCTGAACCAAGGGGTGGTGAAAGATATCTATCTTTAAATCTCTCTTTCTTTCTTTCTCTTCTTCTCTTTCCTCTCAATCTTCTTTTACTCGCTTTTCTTTAGTAGCCATTGTCTAAATTTGCCTTCAAGTAAACTGTCTTTATCTCAACCCACAAGTTTCCTCACTTTCACCTTTTGGATTCTCCCCATCCCACTAGGAGGGAGTGAGTAAGAAGCTACGTGGTGCTCAGCTGCCTACTGAAGGAAAAATAAGGAGAAAATTCAGAAGAACAAAGGAAGGATAGGGGATCCCCACAAAACAAGATAAAGTTGAGAAGAAGGGTTTTGGTCACAAGGATCTGGTTAAACAAATTTATCTTGCAGGAATATGGCAGGAGATGCTAGCTTAGCACCTGAATCTTGTGTTCTGGACAGAACAAAGAGAGATATACTTTATAGGATACAAAGATAGTTCTACCTGGGCAAAACAACAAACTCTGGATCCAGGGGCTACACACTGGGGGGATGAGCGGATGATAGGCAAATGGAGAAAAATGTGAACCTTGATTACCTTAACCAATGGGAAATGGGGGAAGGGCTCACAAGCATTGGGGTACCCAGATAAAAGGGTACCCCAGTACTTTGTGAGACTCCACAAGGGTTTGCCCCAGTGGACTCTCCCTTTATTTGAATAAAGAAAGCTGAAGACTCTCCTTTGTCTCTTATTGGAGTAAAGAGCAGAACAGAAATTTTCCTATCACTACTGTTTGAACCTTTATACATCTGTGGAGCTGATAGAGCTGATGAAAGGCAGAAAAGGTTCAATAGGTATCTCCCAAAGAATTCTACACATAACAGAAAAATAAAAGGTGGCCACTAAGACAGCAGTAGAGAAAGAAATGGCAGACAACAGGAGTAAAAAAAAAAAAAAAAAAAAAAAATCCTAGGGAGATCTTTGAGCTTCAATTCCTGTTCCCAGTCTGATGAGTTCCTAGGACGCTTATTTCCATTAAACATAGAGGCTTTCAGGTAATCACATATACGGACTACCTGCAAAGCTTCCAGATTCTGGTGTTCATTACAGTCATAAAACCCTAACAGTTTATGGTTATAAGACAAAAATAAAAATACTGATTTGGAGATCAGAGAAAACTTCCTAGAAGGTATTAGGAGTACAGAAGCTAAATTTCTACACTGCAATTCTGATAAAAACATGCTTTCTTCTGAAGTGCATTCCTAACTTCAGGAAAGAATATCTTAAAAACAGAAAACTTGCCAAAAGTATTGTCCTCTTTCCTGTTCTATTTTTCTGTTGCATTCACCCCTTCTGAAAGGCTTACTGCTTATAGTGACAAGGAATATGGATTTTTGAACATGTTATGCTGCTGCTAAGGGTATCAGTTTAGGAAGATTGGATTTAATTAAAAGAATGTGCTGTAAGATGCAGGATGAGACTGTCTTTGGGAACTCTTCCTTAGGTTATAAATCAAGCTTATATAATGCGTTTTTGGCTTCAGAACCTAGATAGCATATGCACTGTCCAACAAACTGCAAGTTGCTACTTTCATCATTGATGGAGTTAGGACCTCGAATATTGCAAGCATCAGTATTTGGAGGGACCATATGTATTACCCCGAAGATAAGGCAGGAAAATAAAGTTAAATTGAAGATGGATGGGCCCTATCAGGTCATACCAGAGAAACCACATTTAGAGAGGAAGTAAGCACCTAACTGAGCATGACTAGGGTCAAAAGTTTAAGAGCAATGAAGACTGTCAGCCTTCCTCCCTCAGTCCTCAGACAACCACCAAAGGGACCCCAATGCTCTAAGGGAGAGGGTCATATGTTAATCAGCTCTAAGAAAACAATGACTAAATAAGAAAATATTTAGCATATGCATGAAATTCTGGGGATAAATATGAGTATGCATGAGCACGACCAATAAATGTAATCTGCACATAAGCCAAGGTGCACATATTGGTCAGAGCCATCCCCTAGGTGCCCAGTGATGCAATAAAGAAATACCTGCTTGCTACAACTCACGGCCAGGTTAACCTACCGACATTCTCAGCATCAATCATCATCACATATCACATTCAAGCAAGGGACGTTTGTTAATGTTTCATCGAAAGTATTCATATTAATACTTTTTCCACACAACATCTTAAATGTCTTCTGCAGTTAAGTAGATGATTCTAAAAAAAATAAAATAAAAACAAAGAACTGACAAAACTTTATCACACCTAGATTGAAAATATTTTGAGCCCAGAAGCTAGGATCACAATGAAACTGGATGGTATTGTTAGTCACTGGTGAAGCATCACACCTCGCTCGGAGAAGATAGCGTAGTCGATATGTAATCTAGAACAAGAACAAAACATAACATTTTCCTCTTCAGTTAAAGCCATTAATATGAACTACTGAAAACAAGCAAACAAAAAATCTTCAACAATCCCCCAGAGAATTGAGGTAAAAGAGAAGATTGTCCAAACAAAAATTTAAAAGGATTAAAAAAAAAAACAACAAAGTAATCAATTACTGCATAAAGGCAAGTATTTTTTTCCCCTCCAGAAATGCATATCTTTCCACTAATTCAGCTATTACATAAAATTTACTTGCAGACAAATAATGAATTAATTGCTTCCTTTTTTCCTCCAAATCTAAGCTAACCCATTCATTTAAAAAAAAAAAAAAAAAAAAAAAGTATTCCATCCTCTTGATGACAAGCATCATCAAAAGAGAATTTTCCTTAGTAGCAGATACAAGGTCTTTTCAGAGAGCTTTGTCCATTACAGGCTTATCATATTTTCTTTCATATACTTCTTTGTTCTCAGATATTTTCACATTCTTCAGACTTCTTGGTTCCAAAAGACTAGACTGTGATTGGGATACACAGGCAGAATGCTGGAACAAATCTGAGTTTATCTAGCTGCTAGAAAGATTTTTTTTTGCAGATATTTCCTAGAAATATCTAACACAAATGTTAGAGCAACACACAGCAGATACAGAAAAAGCTTATCAAGTTCCACGCTTCTTTTGTCAAAATTTCATTTTCCTTTCAAATATTTTTCTTACGGACTTTTCCAGGAAATCATTACAAGAGATACATTTGGCCATATTACCTAAAAGGACACCAGTTATCTTTTACATATGAATTTTATATGAGTTTCCACTTTGCTCCTACATTTTGTTTCATTTAGGCAGGTTGATTCTAGACCAGATGCAGAACATTTAGCAAGACTTACACATCTTTTTGTATGCTTGTTTTTAAATTACTATGGAAAATTTAAAGTGCACTTTGAATACAGACCTCCTAGTACTTCTGTACACTGCCAGAAACAATTATAACATGCTTGAAAATTTCTACTCTCTTCACTCATCACAAATACTAGTTGCAGAAAAATTTTATCATAGCTCATTCCATATATTATTTCTGTGTGCAAACATATATTACAAATAAACTCAGAGTTAGGTTATCTCCTATCAGTAATGACAGTAGTCAAAAATGTTTTGTTTATGACAGAGGACTAGGCAAGGAAATTGATGCCTTACTGAACTGTTCAGGTGTGTTATTCCCTGGAAGTACAGGTATTATTCCAAACTATAATGCTGAATTTAAGTCTGCTGGATATTCCTCCTATGTGTTACATGTGGTTGGATATCCCTCAGCAGAGGCCTCGTACGCTCCTCTATGAGTAACTGTTCAGGAACACATATTTCAGATGTCTGTGGACATAGCTATTCAGACCCCAAATAACTCTGACCTCCAGCAAAAATCTGAAGCTGAAGTTTCATCTGTTCCTTTGAAAATTCACTCTCATTTGCAGAGGCTTTATGGGCTAGGATGGTCTTTTTCTTAGGATTTATAACATTTACAATCTTAAGACACCTGCAACATAAAATGTTTTCTCACCCATATAGCAGAAGTCTATGTGGCAACACTAGGCAATTCTAAACAACATTACTTAGTGTGCTGCCCTTTTCTTCCATTCAGCTAAAAAAAGTTACTTGCTAAGGCCGTATAAGACAGGCTCAGTGAATTTAACCACTTGAAATAGGTTGAGAAAACAGCCTGCAGCATTTTAATGGGTATCAAGCAAACAAACTCATACACACACCAACAGATTCTCAACTAGGCAGTGAGGCAACAAAGACAAAACGAAAACTTGCGTTCCAATTACAAGAAATTGGGAGATGATCATCTCTCCTCAACATTACCACATATTTTCTTAATCTGGAAAGTACAATCTAGAAATCCCTGGATAAATGATTGATAGTCATCTTTTTAATTCGTTTTTAATTTCATGGGCAATCTTCTCTTTGACTGGTTGGTTGTTACTGGTCTTCAGGATTCTTCTTCATCACAAGCAGTCAATGAGATCACACACGTGTGTCCTTACAACACTGAAATACTTAGTTCCATAGCAGTTTGCATAAGAAAGCACAAGCCACATCTTCATTTTTATCAGCTTAATAAATCAATTTTTGAAGACTTTTCACAGAAGACGACTCTAACATAACAAAGCAATACACTATATTAAATGCTGGATATCAGGCTTCTTTATCTAAACTCAGAAGCTGTAAAATATACTACTAAAAATCTCATTAATAATTTAGGACATACAGTAATTTTGCCCAGTCTTTCATGGCTTCAAGGTTTTCACTTCAGAAAAAAGGAGTTTAAGGCAAATTCTGAACAACATCTACAACAATACTATGGTAGCACAACAGGAGAGAATCGTGATGAGCTAAGCTAAATTATAATAAATACTCTACATTTATGTTTTTGAGAGAAAACCAAGAAAAACTGATATACAAATATTCCAAGTAGTATGAAGTCATTAAAATGCCTAATCCCTTGGTGTCAAAGACAAATGTGTGCACGCATATGACCTAACTATAATATTTAAGGAAAAAAAGAAATCTATTGTCCTCGTCTTACCAAGCGTTTACTGTAGAGTAGAGCTGTGCTGCTTCCACTGGAAACTGCCCATTTGGAAAAATTCATGGCATGTTCCAGCTGTTTAGAGAGACCTGCCACTTCCAGTTGTTGTTGCATAAGTTTCATTCGATGCTCTTTAGCCAGAGTCTGTAAGCAGAAAATTAGTTATAGTCAAAGCATTCAACTTACAGCTGAGATACATTTAACTTACATGTTTGTGACTCAATGATCGAGAGATTCTCTTCTAAAACTCTTCTAAAAAAAAATACTCCCCTACATCTTGACTATAGCTATCAGTCAAAAAAGTCATAATATTTATTCAAGATATCAAGGTTTTGCATGTAGATCTTCATTTTTTCTTATGACACATTTTCATATATATACATATATATATGCCTATATATACACACACAGTTTTTTTAAGAACTCGTTTTCTAGGCATCAATTTCAAACAACCTCCTTTGATTTTCTATTAGATTGCAGAATTTATGGAGTTCTGATGGAAGGACTTTTCATGCACGGTGCACAAAATAATGACCTACAAAAGCATGGAGGAAAAAAAACAGGTTCAGAGACAACTTTGATTATTAATATATATATGCATATATATATACATATATATACACACATATATATAGAAAAGACACGATTTACAAAGAAATAAAGAAACACAAATAAATAAGTAAACAAATACGCTTGCTCAAATGGCTTGTGTGGGACTTCTCTCTGCTTTGGAACTGCAATAGGACATGTACAAACAGCTAATGCTAGAAACTGATCTCAACCATCACCAGAAGGGAAAAAAAAAAAAAAAAACTGGCTTTTTTTTTCTTGTGACAGAAATGAAATTACCTCCAACTGATGCAGCAGAGCTTTTCCCTTTTTGTTTATTTCTACCATCAGTGTAAATATGGCAACTTTAATATCCTGTTCCACCTGCTTTTGATTCTGATTCATCTCAAGAATTCTGCAAGTAAACAGTATAGAAAATTATATTCTTTAGGTCACAAACCCACCCTTCAAACACAGAATTTTATACTTCTGTGCTACTAGGACTAGAATATTCCTTGATTATACGCACCAATTAATACATAAACAATCAGACACTTTTAGTCAGGAAAATTACTAGAAGAAACAGAAAGAACAAGTACCAGTGAGCTACAATAAAATTAATCCACTGGTGGCAAGTTCTAAAGAGCTAAGTCTATAAAACCTTTATCAATGACACAGATAATGCATCAAGTGCACCCTCAGGGAGTTTGCAGACGACACCAAGCTGAGCAGTGCAGTTGATACATTGGAGGGATGGGAAGCCATGCAGAGGGATCTGGACAGGCTGGAGAAGTGGGCCCATGAAAACCTAATGAGGTTCAATAAGGCCAAGTGCAGGGTGCTGCACTTAGGTTGGGGCAATCCCAGGTATTTATACAAAGTGGGGGAAGAGCTCCTTGAGAGCAGCCCTGCGGAGAATGACTTGGTGTTCCTGGTGGACAAGAAGCTGGATGTGAGCCAGCAGTGTGCGCTTGCAGCCCAGAAGGCCAACTACATCCTGGGCTGCATTAAAAAGGGGTGGCCAGTAGGGAGAGGGAGGTGATTGTCCCCCTTTACTTGTCTCTTGTGAGGCCCATCTGGAGCACTGCATCCAGGCCTGGGGCCCCCAGAACCAGAAAGATGTGGAACTCTTGGAATGGGTCCACTAAGATGATCAGAGCATCTCTCCTATGAGGAAAGGTTGAGGGAACTGGGCTTGTTTAGCTTGGAGAAAAGAAGGCTCTTGAAAGACCTCATTGCGGCCTTCCAGTACTTGAAGGATGAGTATCAACAGGAGGGGGCGCAATTGTTTACAAGGGTGGATAGTGATAGGACGAGAAAAATGGTTTTAAACTGAGACAGGCAAGGCTTAGGTTATATACTAGGAGGAAGTTTTCCACACAGAGCGTGATGACGCACTGGAACACGTTGCCCGAGGAAGCTGTGGATGCCCCATCCCTGGAGGCATTCAAGGCCAGGCTGGATGTGGCTCTGGGCAGCCTGGTCTGGTGGTTGGTGACCCTGCACAGAGCAGGGGGGTTGAAACTAAGTGATCGTTATGGTCATTTTCAACCAGGCCATTCTATGATTCTATGGTAAAACAAGGGTTATTATAGTTATTTAGTTAGTGACATTTAGTTATTTCAGTAGTAATGCTCAAATTGGTAACAGGGCATACTCTTACATCGTGAAAAGCACTGCTAAAAGACAAGGGATAATAACACTAAGATGCTGCAATAGAGGAGAATGGTTTCTGCTCTGCTATCTTAAAGACAGGCAAAGAGAGGAAGACTTCAAGTTACACTCAGCATCTTCTACTGTGTTGAATCTTCCTGTAAGTGCTGAAGAAGCAGACACAAAGAACTACTGCTGCATGAGTTTTACAGATTTACTCCTCTGCTAGATTTGCAGTAGAGTGAATTCAAGCCCAAAGAACAAAAGTATTACGTAAATCTTCAAATGTGTGTCACAAGCATTATGAAAACATGAGTCATTATCTCTCACTTTCTAAGGGATCTACACTAACAAAAAGAGCGCACTGATGATGAATATAAGACCGCCTCCTGCACAGTTTATTGCATAACTTGTTTCACTGCACCCAAGTTATTGTTCCTACGGGTTTGAGCAGAAGAGTTACTTAACATAAGCAAGCACATTAAAAAGACACCCAACGCAATAAAAAACTGAAGCTTTTGGAAGGCCAAGAAAATCTTACAATTTTTCTTTCTGGAAGCATATAAAGACTGAGGTGCAAAATCTACTAATCTAAACATTTCAACAAATTACAGTGTATATTAAAGTTGCAATCTGTCAGTTTCAACCTCAAAATCCAGTACATACCTGTTCTGGATCTGCTTCCCTGTACATTTTATATATTTAGTCTTCTCCATCAGTTTAGTGATTAGAGTCTCAATGATCACTTTCTGGTTCTGAAAAGCTTCTTCTATGAACTGGTACCTGTAGTAAAGAAACAGTGAGTATTTATACATGCCAAAGGTAGGATATAATAAAAAGCAGATTGCCCTACAAAAGGCTTTGTAACATGAAGAAAGATGCTGTTCAGGTCAAAAATTTAACTGCCATTATGGAGGTATACGTCAGGAAATGCTGACCTATTTTATTTACAGCATATTCCTTTTAATTTTGACTTTAAGTTTTTAGAATTATGTTTTTCATAAAATTGAAGGGATACTGTGTGACCTTGTCACAATTCTATTGAAAGAAAAATTAATGTTGTGCTGTAGCTATTACTCCAAGTGAAACAGCACATAAGCTATTACTTCATGCAAGATAAGGATGTAGAAGCAGAAGAAAGAAGAGATTTCTGAGTCAGTAAAGTCAGTAACACTAAATCAAGGAATTGAAATCAGCAACAATTTGTGGGAAAAAAAAAAAAGAGGAGATGTTCTGAACAGGATATAAATTGTAAGAGAAGGAGAGTTTAAGAGGAAGACAGCAATTCAGCAAGATCAACATTTAGTTGGTTCCAAGAAGCAAAACTGGACAACACTCCTCCACCTACTGATGTCTGTCTGCCTTGTCAGCCAAGCAAGTTCATTGGGTGGTTACATTTAGAACAGTGAACATATTAATGTTTAACCTATGAGCACATCTGTCCCAGGCCAATACTGTTATTTGTTAACAGAAAATTACTGTCCTGTACCCAGGAGTTGTATATTATTCCTCTTTTCATCTTCTACAGCCAGTAGGAAATGGCCAAAGAACAGAAACCTAAAATTTGAATGTTATTAAATAGCATTCTCAAAGTACAGTATAGTTAAATTTCAGATTTACTTTTCTTTTTTGAAGAGCTCTTCATAGAAAAATTGTCCATTTGCTCCATTCTAAATTTCTTGGGTATTGTTAGGTTATATAAACATCTTGTTGAAGGACAAATGGAAAAATTACACATAAGCATACAGTTACATAACAGCCTCTGTGCTGAGGTCTCTCTGAAAAACTGCACAGCAACAAATTCCATCCAAATAAATTGTCAGTAAATAAAGGTCTTATTCTTAAACCACCAGAGTAAAAACTGAAAGAATTAGGTTTAACTCCAAACTATCACGCATTTGCCAGCCACATTCTTTTCGACACAATCTCAATTTTTTTCCTGATCAGAAAATTTAATTTTTCACCCAATTGAATTGTATATTGCTACAGCCACAATTAACTTCAAGTTGTCTTCCTGCACGCAAGCTGTATAAAACACTGACTTTGTTTTCATACCTGTGCTCTTTGTGTTCTAGTAACTGACAATCTCGGCAGGTCAACTTGTCACACGTTTCACAGTACAGCTTCAGCTGCTCCTTTTTGTGGAAAGGGCAAAACACAGGTCGCTGACTGGTCACACCAACTGCCTCTATTGATTATAGGAAGATGTCAGTCCAGACTCTTGAAATTGTTATAGATTTGCATTATCATGTATTTCCTTATTATGCTCCTCATCTATATGCTAACCAGAAGTTACTTACGCTTCTTCAGGAGCCCAGTCTAAACGGGTTGGAAGTCTCAGTTCTTGAAGTAAATACAAATGAGCATAGGAAACATCATCACTTGTTAAAAATGATATCTGTTCTTCTATGCAACATAATAAGAAGAAAAAATACTTTTCTTATGACTTGGGCTGTATACTGAGTTCGTGAGGATTATACAGCTTGTAATGACACTGCAGCCCTTTCTTCACTGCAGACCAGGAAGGCCACTTTTCTGTACCCATTCATTTGCTTATTTTAATAAAAATCTGCAGTGTGATTTTCTGATCTATATTTCACCAAAATTATTTGAAAATGACTAGCACTCAGAGGAGGACTGAATATTCCCATTCATTCCCTTCCTATGGCATTTTTTTCCAGCAAATTACACTCAAAATAAGTCACACACTACTCTTGCCCTTTCCACGTACATTCAGCAGTCACTTCTGATTAACTAGTATGAAAATGGGATGTAAATATAGCACCCAAAATATACTATACTGGAAACTACCCTTTGAGAAGTAGATTACAGAAATGATAAATCCTGTCACATATAAAATCCACAGAAACTGACATTGAGGAGTGAAAAATACATACATGTATTTATAATAACAGAAAATAGTTCACAATAAAATACATAATTACAAGATCATCTGTGTCCAAAGGACTTAATAGAACTTAGCCTGAGTAGAAAATTTGTCAGCACCCTATTACTTTTGTAAGTGTCCTAATGTTATTCGAAGACGAGACAAAATGAGCATAAACTGAAACAAAGATGGTTCTCTGTAAATAAAAGTACAACCTTTCTCACCATGAGAAGAGTCAGGCATTCACAATGAGAACACTCAAAATTTCTTATAGGCTGTACTGTACACTGCAACAATCTTTGTTTTCAAGGCCCAAAAGGATAAAGCCTGAACAACCTGATGTGACCTCACAGCTGAATTGCTTTAGGCAGGAGGCTGGACTAGATATTCTTCTGATGATCAACCTCAAGTTTCCCAGATCCTACTAGGAAAAATTCCTAAATTCATAACATATTTTCCTTGAATTTCTGAAGCAAAACATTTCAAACTTAAAATATACTTAGCTAAAATGTGAATTCTGGCACGCTCCATTGCTAACAAAACATGTCCTTATTATCAGTGCAGAAAGAATTTAATTTATTAGTTCTCCCTTTGCTGTGATATTACAGTAAATTAACATAACTATTTAGTAGATCTCTAGAAAAGCTAGAGGAGCCAAATACGTGAAGAAGTATTTTCTGTGGTTAATCTGTAAGCCAAGACAATAACGTGCAATCACCCCAGATGAAACATCACTTTTATATTTATACTGGCTTTATATTCATATTGGTATGTATAATGTTTAAAACATTTCAACATAAAAATTGTAATTAAATACTAATCTGTAGGTTTTCTCACCACTATGTATCATATCTGATAGAAGAAATTGACTGTTATACTTGCAGCCATGACAAAAATTTGTCTTTTCAGTAGCTACATTCTAATGAATCTAATTCTTAACAATAACAACAAAAAAACCCAACAGTTTTCTTTTGTTAGCTGAGCCATTTCAGAGATTCTCTTGAAGAGTTTAAAGTGCTTCCAAAGAAACACCAGAGTTAGTTCAAATGGTTGCAGCCTTCAGAATGGAACTGAAATAAGTGAATGGGAGGCAGGAACCAACACTTCCTGATCCAATCAGAAAGTAAAACTTATTTTGTTAGTATTCATATGTACCAAGAGTTTACACCACACTGAATCTGTCCTTTTACATTTACTAAGATTAAGGGACAGTATTTTTGAAATGCATCATTTTAAAAATTAAATGTGTTGACTTAATTTAGTTTTCTGATGCATTCTTTGTGATTAACACACATCCTTTGCAAAATTACAAATCAAGTATGTTACCTGGAGATACTTCCTCCTTCTGTCTTACAGTATGATCCTTTGTGAATTTAACCCTCTGGTGAGCTCTGATGCAGGTCTTGCACAACCATTCCACACATTCCACACAAAACCCATGAGCTTCTGCATTGTCTTCACAACTTGTGCAGACCTGACACGAAGAGAAAAAAAAATGGCAGCTATGAAAATAAATATAACATATGCATACAAGCTATTATTCATATATAATCAATGTACTTCTGTAGTTTCCCTACAAGAGTGAAATGGGAACGGAAAACTGCCTGAGGTACAGGAACACTATAAATAACTATATAAAAGTAATTGAATGTGACTTGTCAAAGAAAATGGTCATTTTATCAGTGCTACTCTAGAACATTTACCTGACATCACAGAAGTCAAATCATTACTTTCCACCTGACACTGCACACTTAGGAGTTGTATAATGTTTACTATATAGTAAATATTTCACAAGAGCATATTGTAAAGACAGAACACAATCAGCACTGCTCTGATTTTAGAAGACAGAAGCTTTAGTTTCAGTTTCTGTTCATCTACACAAAGTTACAGGAAACACACAAAGCAAAAAATAGCAGGGTTCCTCTCAAGAAACTCTGCATTGCTACTTTGAGACAGATTACAGCTTATTAGTAAAGCTACTCTTCAAGACATTTTCAGGGAATCTGTAACATTTTTCAAACTGCGGCCTCTGGACTACACCCAAGAGATCTAGAAAAAAAAAAAGTAATTTAGGATAACACCTGACAGCCTGGGCAGCCTGGTCTAGTATTAAACGAGGAGGTTGGTGGGTGGCCCTGCATGTGGCAGGGGGGTTGGAGATTCATGATCCTCGAGATTCATGACCCTTGAGGTCCCTTCCAACCTTGGTCATTCTATGATTCTGTGATAGCAATCAAAATGTCCCTGCATAAAGTCAGTATCTCCACGTAAGGAAGATTTCCTTTCGACCAACAATTTCAGCAACAGGTTGAAAACTAAGAGTAACAGACAACAACAATTTACATGCTCATAAAATTATTTCATTTTTAAGTCCTCCTTTACAGTCACATAACTCATCCTTCATGTTCCCCTCTCCAGTCATACCTTGAAGCATTTAGGCAACTATCATCCATTTCTATCAAGGTTTAGCACTGCTGCAAACAAAAGATTCAAGCTGCCTGATGATCACTCTATCCTAGAGATCCCACCAATAGAATTAATGCTAACAGGATACAAGGGACAAAATTTTAGATCTTGGTTTTCCTTTTAGTTTCATTTTTAAAAACTTCAGCTTCTGCACCCACACAAGATAGAGATTAAAGCAGAAGCAACAATTCTTATCCTAAGCAGATATGTACAACTACGTCCCAGTTTGCCCCTTCCAGAAAATGAAGAACATTAGCTGATGAGGTGAACTGACTTGCCTTAGGCCACATAGCAAGTTACTGACAGAACTGGAATTTGAAAATACGAGTCCCAGATTCCCAACGCTGTGCTTATTCTTCTGGATCGTGTTGCCTCTCACTGTAAATATCTTCTGAGAAATTATGTTACAACACAAGAGTGGGAGACCCTTCTTGTTCTCAATTGGAGTATGAGGCAGTTCATGTTCATAAAGGTGACCTGAAAAGGAAAACAAAAACTGGGCTTGTGCCCCTTTTTCTGTTTCTTTACAAAAAGGAGGCCTGAAAGTCTTACTAAAAAACCTTCTTAAAAAATATGTTCTGCTTATTTTTACATTTTTTCCCCATCATCTCTTCAACAACAAAAATTCTATTGCTATCTAGACCAGTTAATTAGGGAAAAATATAAAAGGCATAAAAATTGTTCAAGAAAATGAAAACAATTAAAGGAAGTTAATTATAACTAGGAAGTTAAAAATTGTACTTGCCCTTAAATTTTAATTTCTGTGTCACTTTGGGGGGGAAAAAATCATAAAGCCATACTGAATCCTTAGATAAGAATGTAAAACAAGTAAATAAGCATCGTGTTAATTCAATGTTACATTTTCTCTGGCTGCAAAACCCATGAAGGAAATTCTCTGCCTCCTTTTCCAGTTTCTTCTCCGTAAAAGTACTGATGCAATCTTTCGCCAGGCTGGTGTAAAACCAGATTGATTGCATCACTGCTGCCCAGTGATCAGTTACATGAGCACTGCTGACTGAGCAGAGAACTTCTGCAGGCCGAGAAGCTTTTAAAGAACTTGTTGGCAGAGAAGTATTATCATACTATGCTCCCAGATTGACTAGGAAGAGGTTTTACAAATACACAGAATGAGAAGTAAGATTTTTCTTTAAACTAGAAAAATAAAAGAAGATAAGCAGAAGAAAACAGAAAAAAAAAAGAACACCAATCTTTCAGGCCTTTTCATGATTATTATTAAATCAAAAAAGCAAAATGAAACAGAAAAGGTGAAAACCCAGTTAGTATTAAGAAATTAATAAATACATTATGCTCTTTCCAGGTCACCTTTAGCAATCTCAGGCAGGTAAGCTTGATATGTGTCAGACCATTCAAATGAGTTCAAAAGATTTCAGAAAGTAATCATTCTTCCTAGATTCCAAGATCTTTGTCTACTTTATTTTTGCAATGCGTTTTAACTTTTTTCTGTCTGTTTTGACCTGTTATTGTTAGAAAGAAGACTGTGATTCAATAACCAGTCTGGTGGTGTGAAATGAACTGAAACTCTTTCTTTGTAGTCCAAAAATACATGTATTGCAACTTTATATTCCTCAAATCCACCAAGTAGAAGACAGACAGATTTATAAACTTCTTCATAGACATTATAACTCATGCTGTCAAAATAGTTCTGCTCCGTAGGTAAAAACTAAATTTGCTTCCACCCAGTTCTTATTTGAAAAATGCATTTTCAGATCAAGATTAGATTTCGCTAGAGCTCTGACTTATTAGAAGAAATTGTATACCTAAAGTACATGGAAACACAATTACCGGAAATATAAGCTATATTCTTACAAAATCTAAAACTATGTCACACTTATTTTGACTCATACAAGCATTCCTTTAGTAATTTCAAAGAAAACTCTCCCTAATTAACTTGCAAGTCTTTATTCTGGTTAGATAGATTTATTTTTAATTGACTTTTCCTTGTAAGTATGTCTAATTCAGTTACTAGTTTTAGTATTTACAACCCTGGGAAGTGTTCACTCAGCCTTCATTCAATTTTAATGTAAGCTGAAATTACTCAGCATGTTCCAGGAAGGTTACGATATTTTCTGTTCTAAAAGCTTGTTTGTTTACTTAAAGACAGATTTGTATGCACGAGCTGAGGTAATAGAGCTGTCTTCTCAGCTGCTACTCTGTACTACCTACTCTTCCAATTAGCTTTAAGTATCAAAGACATTAAATAAGCAAAATTTTCGAGTTTTGAAGGAAAAGAACTCAGTAGCATTCCAGAGAAATATTTGTTCAACTAATATTCTGAACAAAAATTACTCCAGGTTAAATTAAATGTAATAGTAACCTTTAATTTAAAAAACACCGGTGCCAAAAGTGGTATTTCTTGGCACATACAAAAGCAGCAAGGACAACATCTGCCTTTTGGGACATACTCACCCATCTGTACTTCTAAATATGAATCATATCCTGACATCTTAAATCACGAACCCTAAGGAACATATCCTTTCTGCAACATCCCATTACTGGCCACCTTGCTACTAAGCACATCACAACTATATCAAGACAGCCTATTATCCACTGCTCTTAACTAGCAACTTTCAAAGATGTTTTCACCATGGCTACAGCTTTGTTAAGGTGTTTAGCATACTAGTTCTTCTTTGGAAGAATACACGGTAGCTACTTTGGTATCATATAAGTGCCTGACTTCACCCTGACAGCACTGAGTTTGGTGGATACTTTGATACCCTGTAGCTCAGAGGAGTATGCCCAGTTTTGCATGGTTACCATCAACTCCCAAGAATAACGGATCCTTGAATTTTCCATTCCTTATCCAAGACACAAAGGTCTCAATTACCCCCCCACCTTAAAGTTTAAGAAAAATCTAGAGGAAGAAGAATGAAGACAAAAACTCTTGCCATCAAAACCAGTAGAAATAATTCTGTTTCTATCCAACTCCCCAGAGCAGTACATCACAGGACACGTTATATAACTTAACAGAGGTTATGACACAGGCCCCAAAGGAAAAAAAGAGAAAGAAAAAAAGGAAAACTGGAAAATGTCAGGACTGCTTTTGCCTAGCAAAGCAATTTGTTATCTTGCTTTTCTTCCTAACTGAAGCAACAAGGACTATTTTCTTTTACTGGCAGAGAAATCAAAGGAAACCAAAGGAAAAAAAAAAGAAAGAAAAACCCGAAAAAACACCTTCAAACAATCCTACATCAACAGAACACTGAGATATTGCTTGTACTTCAGAGACTTCCAACTAAATTCCAGTTTCAGGTAGGGTATATAATTTCTAAGAATCAGAGCTGCAAAATGTCCTACTCTCTGAAGACAGCTAAATGGCTTTTGGAGACATAAGTCTAAGTCCTTCTCGGGGATGAGGACAAAACGTATGCCTTTAATAGCCAGTGAGTCAGCATTACAAACCTGATTGGTACTTCCATTGACTCTTGACATACCCATTCACACACGTAAGCACAAATTCCAGCTAAGCTTTCAAACAAGGGGACTAAACAATAAAGGACTTCTAAGAAGACATCCTCAAAACAAATAGATCGAAAGCCAATGATACATTTCCCTAGAACAAGATGAAAGGCAATTTCCAAGAAGTTCTTTAAGGCCACAATACAACTGACATTGGATTAGCTTAAAATTGACATCACATTGAAACAGTAATCTTTTTTTTTTTTTAATTGTTATTACCAAGAATGCAGCAACATAAAGAAGCTGAATCATTTCCAAGAAGTTCCTGGAGTTTAATAAAATCTTGAAAAGATACTTGGTCTCTCTCATTAGTTGACAGTGAAGACATGTTATTTAGTGCGGTGTTTTGCCAGTGGTAACGAAAAATAAAAGCTGACTGAAGCAGAGGATTGCATTTTACATTGGGATCTCCTGACATGGTGTCATTTAGGTCTCTGGATCAAAGAGTGCTGAAAGTGTCCTGTCCAAAGTCTAGAAATTTCCATTCTAATATCTATTTCTTGCATTTAGTTTTTATTATCACAATGCAATTTTAAATTGATAATTAAAAATAGCTTAAACAACCTTCTTCTTCACGTGCACTTTCATATATTTCAACTGATTTTCTGGAGTAGCTACTTCATATGATGACTAAGTACTTCAGGTCTTTTTCTGTATATGAATAGCAAAAAAGGCCATGCAGCAAGAAGCCAAGGACATGCATACACAACCAACACGTGTTAACTTGATTACATGTTAATGCACTTACCTGATTTGATTTTTCTACTGTGCTACTAGGAACCTCTGTGGTATCCTTCACAAAAAAGTTATCTATGATGTGTCTCTCTGCGCATTCCTGACCACAAATTGGACAGCGGATAACACCAACTGGGGGGGAAAAAAATCTAATTATGCTTGCGCAACTTAAGATTTATCAAACAACTTCAAAGACAGCTGGTAAGGATAAACACTTTGAAAGTCAACATTAATACTGTTCTATCCATTATGTCTGAGTAAGAAGCTTGTTCTCATTCGTCACTGAAGAAACCTTTTACCTGTTATTCCCTGATGATATGTTCCCTTGACCAAGGTCAAGTATCTCCGTTTCAATCCTACTTTAGATTTGCTTTAATCTTATAGAAAATTAATTCCTTTTCTTCTAAAAGCAACGTATTCCATTGACAAATTGTTGTTACACAATTGATTAAAGCAGACATTTATTAATGTGGAGTATTCATTAGTGAGAGTGAACAGTTCTACACACACCAGTAGCATGACACGACTGACTTCCAACTACAGTAATGAGAGAAACTGAAATGCAATAAATTCAAAGAGAAATTGTATAAAGGAACAGACCTGCATTAAAATAGCAACTACCTTCATAAAAAGCAAGGATATATTAAGGAATAAATGAGCAAGGTCCTCTCCCTCCTTTGTTCTGCAAGACACACTGAAGAACAGTTCTAAGGTAGTACCTGCAAAGTTCTGTGGAAAATCTCTAAAACCGTTTGAATGTCTCAGTCACCGAGGGATTGCTTAGCAGTGAAGAAGAAAGGGAAACAGTGTGTTTTAGTTTGCAGCCGGAACAGAAACCAAAAGTGCTCTGCTGAGGAGGATGCGGAGTATGTCAGAGGATGGATGGCACTACTCTCCCATGCAAATGTGGGCAAGGTTCCCTGCTGCAAGAGGTGCTAATGTGATCCATGTGATGTGAAAGAGTCTCAATGACCCTGATTTCAGCTGGAGTAAAGGGTCAATGCTGAATTCCAACTACTCCCACCTCACATGCAAACTACAGATATGCATGCAATATACTTCTCTTACAAATAAAAAGGACTACAATGGTCAGGTGTGCACCTGCCACCTGGGTATTACTAGACCATAGACTACACTGGAAGCAAGGGTGGTAATTTGGATTTTCCTTCCATGCCTATCCGCTCCCTCTTTTCCTCTCCCCACCTCTGTTCTCTCTCCCCCTCTTATTTTTTTTTTTCCTCTCTCTTTTCAAGTTACATTAGAATGTAACACAAGGCACACATTCATGGCTTGTCACCAATGCAGTATAGAAATTTAAATATACGTATTCTCCATGTCATGTGCCAGGTATTGTAGTGGGATACAAATAAATATTTAACCAATCTTTTGGTGTCATTTCACCTTAATTTAGCCTGAGGCAATCATGATCCAGTTGGATCACGACAGTAACATAATCCAGGTTGAACACAGAGCTGACAACTAGTAACGCAAAGAGTTGAGTTATCCCTCACAAGAAAAAAAAAAAAGGACAAAGTCATTCTCGAGACTTGGAGCTTAACAGTGAGTAGACCAGGTTTAAGCAAAGAAGACCTGCAGAAACATTTTTAAAGACACCTCTTCTACATGCCAAAACAACAGAATGTCTTATTAACACCGAGGTTTCTTTATCTTCCGAGAAATCTCTGAAATGCTGACATTAGTGTATTGCTTTAAGGAAATTATCCACACTCACAGCTACCAAAAGGAAATGAATAAAAACTAAGTCAGGTTGAAATAATCACTACACAGAGGGGCAGCACTGAGCTCTGTTCGCTGTGACAGCAACAGGGCCTGAGAGAACAGCAGGCAGCTGGGTCAAGAGAGGGTCAGGTTGGGTGTTAGGAACAGGTTCTTCACAAAAGGGTGGTCAGGCTCTGGAACAGGCTCATCATGGCAATGGTCATAGCCCCGTGATGCTGGAGTTCATGAAGTGCTCAGACAAATCTGTAAGACATAAGGTTTCTTTCTGGCTGGTGCTGTGTGGAGCCAGGGATTGGACTCAATGATCTCTGTGGGCCCCACCAAACTTGGGATATTGTCATTCTCTAATGCAGGATCATACAAATCCCACAGCACAATAGTGATGCAAGACCAAACCAAGACAGATTCTACAGCTGTTATTTCAAAAGAAGCATGATTTTAAGGATTAAGAGAAGCTTATAGGTATAGTTTAATGCACCAAATTTAAAATCAGTAAATAATTCAGCACCTGAATATTTAACTAAATTGGTATGTGCTTAATTTTGTTCCTGTTTCACTGTTAAATTAAAAGGCAGAAGTGCAGAAATCATTAAAATATTTTACTTTCCATAAAAAAAAAAAAAAAAAACTGAATTCCTTATGTTTCACACAACATTTAGATAACTTTTCCATAGTGTTATTCCAATAACATGCTAGAGATCTAAGCACATTATACTCAATTAGCTCTTCATTCCTGAAATTTAGCCAGCAGCTTCCCCCTTGTGTGCAAGGCATTTCACTTTCATCTGTAAGGCTGTGATACTAAGCCTGCTTCAATTGTAATTGCTATTTTGCAAGTCTGTGTTTCAACACACATCTCCGCGGCTTCCTTTGATAGACACATTCTAAATTTTGGTTAAAACTTCTGCAACTTTTTTATACCATTTTCATGAAGGATAATAAAAAAAAAAACCCAATTCAGGTATGTCAGGTAGGTAATGCAACTCTTCAGTTCTTATTTTCTTCTCTTATTAAGCAAATCAATTTGCCACAGACAATAATACTCAATCCACACACTTGCTGGAAAATACTTTTAGTAAAAAAGAACATTTCATTACAGTGATGGTTACAAACAACCCTGTGTTCCCTCATTGCTCATTCTTGGTCCAAGCAAGACACAATTCTCTGGGAAAATGCAAGCAACTGAGCTGGTCCATGCATGTGTTTGGGAGTGGGGTACAGAAAGAAGGGCAGCAGAAGGACAGTGACAAAATGGCGTCTGTCACTGACGTGTGTATGAAGCAAAAGTGCACCACTGCATTCCTCTGTTTGGAAAAAGGGCACCCACTGACATTCATCAATGCTTCCTGAACATTTACAGACTCCAAACAGTGGCTGTGAGCACAGTGAGGCAGTGGGGTGGTGTTTTTAAGCGCTGGTGACAGCAACAGTGGGTCACCTCCGCTGGCGCACTTCTATGAGCATGGCATGCAGGCCATGTTAATCACTGGTGAAAATGCACAGCTAATGGTGGTGACTACCCTGAAAAAGTGCTTTGTAGCTGAGAATTTGCTCTATCAAATAGCGTTACTGTGCTTTTTCTATCTGTATTAGTTCGCATGGAAATAAATAGAAGGTATTATTTTCAGTGTAACCTATATATTTGTCATTTTTGACACAGAGAGACACCTGCTATGCACTTCAGCACTGAAACCAAACGTTCCACTGGTCTTTTCACAGACTGAATATGGCAACAGTAAGGTTGAGAGACTGTGTAGATACCAGACTGAGATGGGGGAAGGAGAAAAAAAACTGCTCAAACCTCTCAAAATCCTCCTGAGAAGTTTTTCTTGAATCCCTTATGCTGTCTAACCCACGAGCTGTTGGCATAATTTAGAAAAAGCAAAAAAACACTGCAGGGCAGCTTTAAAAGAGGGAGAAAAAAAAAAAAAGGCTATCTTAACCGGCAATAAACAAAATTAATCTTCCCAAAGTCAGTTGCACTTTGCCTGTGATGGTAACAGTGAGAAATCTCCCTACTTCCATCTCAACCCATGAGATTTTTTTGTCTTATTTTCTTTCCCCATCCTGTTGAGGAGGAGGAAGTAGTTAGCAAGGTGTTTGGCAGACAGCCACAGCTAACCCACTGCACATGAGTCTTACAGATCGTTCTTATTGGCTGATTTTATGCTTTAAACTAGAATTCTAATTCAGTTTATATGAAATCTGAAGCAGCACCTAGAAAGATGCTGGTCCATACATAATTTATCGGATTTTATATGGAGAAGACACTGCTTTATACTATTACAGCCCTACAGAGATTTGGAAAATACACAACATGCCTATTACAACAGTCACGTGGCTTCACAAGGGCAAACCCTTCTGCCATCCCTCTCTTGTTGCAGCCTAGGATACAGTTGGCCTTCTGGCTGCAAGAGCACGCTGCTGGCTCACATCCAGCTTTTCACCCACCAGCACCCTCAAGTTGTACTCTGCAGGACTGCCTCCAGTCTGTAGACATATCTGAAATTGCCCTGATCCAAGTACAATACCTTGCACTTGGCCTTGCTGAACTTCATTAGGTGCATATTAGGTTAGAGGGGGTGCAGAAGAGGGCCACAAGGACAATGAGAGGGCTGAAGTACCTCTCCTACAAAAACAGGCTGAAAGAGCTGGGGTTGTTCAGCCTGGAGAAGGCTCTAGAGAGACCTTATTGCTGCTTTTCAATACTTAAAAAGTACTCATAAAAAAGGTGAGTGACTTTTTACAAGAGCCACAGGACAAGTGGCAATGACTTTAAGATAGAAGAAGGTAGGCTTAGATTAGGTATTAGGAAGAAATTCTTCACAGAGGCTGCTGAGACACTGGAATATGTTACACAGAAAAGTATTCAAGGTGAGGTTGGCTGCAGCTTTGGTCAACTTGGTCTACAAAAGATGTCCCCACAAATGGCAGGGGAATTGAAATGAGATAGTCTTTAATGTCCCTTCCAACCCAACCATTCTGTGATTCTGTTCTATAAATTATAATATATAATGCATGTACAGCGAGGATCCATAGAAGAAATCGGAAACATGCTTTGAAAACCACCTTCCTCATCCAGCTTTCAAGTACGGAGGCTTAACTAAAAAGATGGACAGGTATTCCCCTCCAGTCCTGACAGAAGTAACAAAATAGGACATCACAGACATTAATGATTCTTGCTTTCATCTACTAATACACCTGCTGCCATACTTTAGTGTATGAAAAAGAGGCAGATTAATTTAACAGCGTTAAGTCAGGTGGCTGAAGTAAACATAGGATTGCCCATACAAGCCTTTTGCTAACAATCCAACAGGTGGTGTGCCAAGCAGCTAATGCCTTTTTGAACAAGCAAAAAGGCAATGACATTTTCCAGAGACTCTCTGGCTTGT